TCACCCACACTGTCTCACACTCTGTTGGCCTTATTAGCGAAAGGATTCACCAAGGGATGCCTTGATGCATTTGTATAGGGTCTTGGTCAGACCACAGCTGGAGTATTGTGCGTAATTTTGGTTTCCTTATCCAAGGAAGGATGTTCTGGCTATTTCAACAAAGGTTTTTCACACTGATTCCTAGAATGGCAGGACTGTCATATGAAGGCAGACTGGATCGATTAGGGCTTTATTCACTGGAGTTTAGGAGAGCGAGGGAGGCGGGGGGGGAGTTCCACAGGAGCTTATAAAATTCTAACATGGCTGGATAAGCACAGGAAGGATGTTGCTGACAACTGGAAAGCCCAGAACCAGGGATCACAGTCTAAGGATACAGAGTAGGCTATTTAGGACTGAGAAGAAATTTCTTCAGCCAGAGAGCGGTGAGCCTGTGGAATCCTCTGTCACAGAAAGTGGTTGAGGTCAAAACATTGATTGTTTTCAAGGAGGAGATAGATATAGTTCTTGGAGCTAAAGGGATCAAAGGCATCAGGAGAGGGTAATGAGTTTGGACGATCATATTTCATTTAAGAAAGCCTGTAAGGAAAAGCCAGGGAACTACAGACCAGTGAGCCTGATGTCAGTGGTGGGTAAGTTGTCAGAGGCGATTCTGAGAGACCGGATTTACACGCTTTTCGAAAGGCAAGGACTGATTAGTGATAGTGAACACGGCTTTGTGCACGGAAAATCATGTCTCACTAACTTGATGGAGTTTTTTTGAAGACCGGTGAAGGCAGAGCAGTAGACGTTGACTATACAGACTTCAGCAAAGCGTTTGACAAGGTTCCGCATGGTAGACTGGCTAGTAAGGTCAGATCACAAGGGATCCAGGGTGAGCTAGTGAATCGGATACAAAATTGGCTTGAAGGTAGAGGGTGGTGGTAGAGGGCTGCTTTTCGGGCCCAAGATCCTGACCTACGGGCACCCGGCAGGGGGAGAGGAAGACATGTGTCGGAGCCTCCTCGCGGCTTTGCTACTGGGCCTGACCAAGATGGCCATTCAGCAGCGGGCCGAAGAGGGGCCTCGCCAGTTCTGTCTGCCCCTCTTGCATGGTTATGTCTGCGCTCGGGTGTCCCTGCAGCATGTGGGACTGACCGGTAATGATGGAGGCCTTTTGCGACTGACGGGTGCCGCAGGGGCTGGTGGGGGGCGGTGTGGGGGTCGCATCATCGGTTCGAGCGATGAAATTTTGACTGAGCGGCGTAAGTTTCCACTTGACTTTTTAAGTCTGCGCTTGTTGTCGGTTTTGTGCCTGGAAAAGGGCAGTTTTCTTTTCCTTTTGCGTTGGTTTTGGAGCCTGGGGAAGAGCCAAAGGGGGTTTTTACTTAAACTCCATACCATCCCTGTCCCAGAGGTCAGTTTAAGGGGACTTTATTTTTCATTAAAATGGGTAGAGGAACCTTCCTCTGGATTTCAAAACTCTTGCTGTTCCTGTCACAGGTGCGTTGGATGGGGATGGTGCAGAGATTTGATTTTGATTGTGTCGAGGAAGGTTTATTTTACGTCTTGGTCCTTGCGGTCCCTGCCCCACGTGCAGATGGTGGGGACCGAGTCAAGGGGGGTGGCGGCCATCTTTTTTGTGCGCTTTTTTTTATTTTGGTTTCTCCTCAAGTGACAGAGACTTCATTTTCATTTATGAAAGTCGAGAGAGCTCACCTTCTGCTTCAAACAAGTAGCGTGCGCTCTCGCCTGCCTTTTACCCGGCGCTGTCCCTACTCGGGAGTGTCTGATGGGGGCAGTGTTGGGGGAGCCTTGGCTCTTTCGGTTTCTATCTTTGGTTTAAAGGCGTAGAGGGTTGCTTTTCGGACTGGAGGCCAGCGACCAGCAGTGTGCTGCAAGGATCGGTGCTGGGTCCACTGCTTTTTGTTCATTTATATAAATGATTTGGATGTGAATATAGGAGGAATGGTCGCTAAGTTTGCAGACGCAACCGAAAAAGGTGGTGTAGTGGGGACAGTGAGGAATATTATCTCAGAGTACAACGGGACCTTGATCAGATGTGCCAAGGGGTGGCAGGTGGAGTGTTCTGTGACAGCTATGACTCCATATTGAATGGTTATGCAGGACTGAAGGCCTGAATGGCCTACTGCTGCTCCCGTTTGCTCCATTTCCTGGCATTTTCTGAAGTGAATTCAGGAAGAAACTGATCGGTTTTGGTTTTGAGAGAACCCGGATGTTGCAAACATAGGAACAGCGTTGGTTCGAGAAAGAAAAAACCTACATGGAAAAGGATGCACCATCTATGGCTAATGACCCAATTTAAGGAAAGAGTCGAAAGGAAGTGAATGATTAAAAATGCTGGGAAGCTTGGCGGTAAGCCAGGAGAAAACTTTAGAAATCTATAAAGGATGCCTGAAACAAACAGAGAAATTAGAGCATGAGAGCAAATTAAGTGGTTAAGGTCTATCCTGTTCTTAAGATATAACATTGTATTGAAACAAGAGGTCTGGTTTACAAAAAAAACAACATAAACTAGTGAATAATATAATTAAATAAATCACATAACTCATTCAGCATGGTAGAACAGTTGATGACTCAAGACTGCAGTGTGTGGGAGCCCCTGGATGCCATTGTGATCCAATACAAGTGTGTCTACGATTAGTGTTGGAAATACAAGTGGCTTTTTGGCTCAGAGTCTATGAGCTGGAGGCTGAACTACTGACATAGAAACATAGAAGATAGGAGCAGGAGGAGGCCATTCGGCCCTTCAAGCCTGCTCCGCCGTTCTTCATGATCATGGCTGATCGTCCAACTCAAAAGCCTAATCCTGCTTTCTCCCCATATCCTTTGATCACATTTGCCCCAAGTGCTGCCTCTTGAGCACATTCAATGTTTTGGCATCAGCTACTTCCTGCGGTAATGAATTCCACAAGCTCACCACTCTTTGGGTGAAGAAATGTCTCCTCATCTCCGTCCTCAATGGTCTACCCCGAATCCTCATACTGTGATCCCTAGTTCTGGACACACCCACCATCGGGAACATCCTCCCTGCATCTACCCTGTCCAGTCCTGGACAGGGTAGAGAGAACAATCCCAACCTAGTCGATCTCTCCTCGTACGTCACACGAGCATTAGGGAGGGGGGAACGTTACCTGGATCTTTGTACCAGGAGGCGGTCACACCAGTGAGGATGTGGCAGGATCTGGTGCGTGGTTAGGGACAGGAGAGTGGGACAGAGAATGAGGCAGGTAAGGGCACCCATAGGTGCAGCACTGTCAGGCTCTGCAATAGTCCGACAGCTGTAAGGTTCTCTTAGCCTGTTTTGGTGACGGCAGGGGCTGCAGGGTGGATGTGGAAAATGACCATGGCACTGATATACAGATGTGGGGAGCAGCACAGTATGCAGTAGTACTTGTAGGTGATAGTACAGTGATGGGGATTGACACTGTTAGAATCATAGAGTCCCTATAGTGTGGAAGCAGACCATTCAACCCATCGAGTCTACACTGAACCTCTGAACAGCATCCCCCCAAGACCCACCACTGAGCCTGCACGTCCCTGGGCACTGTGGGAAATTTAGCATGGCCAATCCACCGAACCTGCACATCTTTGGACTATGGGAGGAAACTGGAGGAAACGCACGCAGACACAGGGGAGGCAATGAAGGATGAGAGTCTAGGTGGCTATGTTGCCTTTCCGATGCCAGGGTCTGGGACATCTGCAGCAAGGGGGACGGTCCACTTGTTGTGGTTCACGTAGGTCCCAACGGTCTAGGTAGAGGGTTTCTACACACAGAGCATGACAAACTCCGCACTAAATTGAAAGCAGCACCTCACCATTTACAATCTCTCAGCCTTGTGAAAGAGATGACTATGTCGCTATGGAGCTGGTATGGGAAAAGTGGGTTCCAACTCAGGTGCACTTGGGACCACTCCTGGGGCGAGAGTGGACTCCTCCTTTGGGACAGTCTACACCTGAGCTGTGCTTTGTATTCTTGCAAACCACAGAACTCCGGGAAATTGAGAATCAATTAAACTAAACAGTGTGGGCTAGGGAACGACATGGTACATCAAAGATTAGGGACAAGTTCAGAAAGGACAATAGGATTGTGGGAAATGAGGATTAGAGATGGCGGGAAGAGGAACAGACAAAAAAAATCCTGGGAGTGCACCACACTTTGCAGGCTCGGAGTCAGGAGAATGTGGGTGCCGATGCTCAGGAAGCGACAAACGCAGCTTCACCTCGGCTGCATCGGGATCCCGTCTCGACTGATGTACAAAAAGAGGCCAAGTGCTCACGGATTGGCATAGCCTTGTTCCCCAGGCCCGATCAGCGATTGGCGAGCTGCTTTCTGAGCCAGGGACTAAATGCTGTAAAAGAGGTGGGCAGAGTTGTGGGGGGCGGGTGTTGGGTTGCTTGGAAGCTGGCAACACTGGAGTCGCAAGTCCAAGGGACAGGCAGAAGGCCTACAGGAAGTGACAGTAAAGTCAGCCCAGCATGGTAACCAGGAATTATAGGCCCTCTTAACGGCCCTAAATCGAAGTGATGTTAACATTAAATGACATTTCTAAAAGACTCGCTAGTAAACCCAATGAGAATCAAATGGGAATTTCTTCGCGACGAGTCATGTGGCCTCTCGCATGCCTGTAATTCTGTTGCTCATTGAGAATTCAGAACTTACTACCACAGGGAGTGAATAGGCTTCAGGAGGAGGATTTGGAATAAGTTAAATATTCAAAGGAGCGCAGGATCTGAGGACATTTTGAGTAAAGTTTGATCAAACGAGCTGGGATCCACCTCATGACACATCAGCCATCGCTCTGAAAGGCCTGTTTTTCTGCACTGTTTTGTTTTTTTTAAAATCTACACCGTCCTACGTAAAGAAAGAATCAGCTTACTTTCTAACGAGCCTGACCTTAACCCTGTGTCAGCGGGTGGGGTTTAAAGGTGAGAACCAGCTTTATCTGAGCCCTGCCACGGGAGCCAGTCCAAACATACCTGAGCTGTGCAGTTCTGCGGCTTCGAGAAGCCATCGAAGGCGGCAGTCCAACTGACGGTGGCGTTGTTGGCAGTCTCGTTGGCGATGCTCACCCTATCCGGCTTGGCTGGCAGGACTGAACAAGAAACAGCGGTTGGTGCACGGCAAGAGGCCGAGAGCGAACCTCGCAAAGAGGCGCCCACGCCGTTCCCTTGCCCTGTGAGCGCATTGTGAGGGAAACGACGGCCCAAACGCGGCGCCTCCAGAGCAGAGGGTCTGCACAATACCCCACATCCGGGGGTTCGTCTGGTCACGGCGACAAAAACAACAGAACAAGGCTGAACTGCCCAAGCGTGCACTCGGAAATTACACGGCAACTCACCCTTTTGGGGTGTCTGCTCTAGAAACTCATCAGCGACCGTGGAGGACAGCTTTCCCCCAAGCAGTGCAGCTTCCCGCTTCAAGAGGGAGACTCACTGATGGCCTCTAAATAAAACCACGTTACCAACGGTTACCGCTAACCACAAAGCGACAGCTCAAAGTTATCTCCCTTAAACAGGGAAGAGAGGGGAGAACGAGGCAACAGGTGAGGGGGAGGGGGCAAGGCGATGGAAGATAGGGAAAATAAGAGGGAAAGAAGAAAGAATGAAGTGGGGGGGGAAGAAGGAAGAGGAAAGGAAATAGAGGAAGGAAGACTGGACAAGCGGGAGCAGAAGGAGACGGGGAGTGATGAGGAGAAACAATGATCGAAGGAAACGACGAAGGGAGAAAGGAAGTAGCGGAAGGGACAAAGTGGGGGGCAGTGAGATGGAAGGCATGCCAAATGGAGGAAGAAATAGTGTAAGGAAGGATGATGAGAAATAGCAGGATACACTAACGGAAGAAAGAAGGGATAAGGGAGAAAAGAAGGAAAGGACAGAAGAGACAAGGTGCTGGTATAAAATGATAAAAATGCACAAAAGGGAGGGAAGACGATGGAGGAAGATCGAGGTAGAGAGAGGGAAACAGATCAAGATAGAGGAGGGAAAAAGAAACTTGCACTGGTGTGGCACCCTTAAGATAGTAAAAGATCGCGCGGTGCTTCTTAGACAAAATGTAACTGAAGCTGCTACTGGGGGAGACATCGATACTATTGGCCAAAACTTTAGGCTTTAAGGAATATCTTAAAGGAGCAAAGAGTTGAATGGAGTCAGTTCCAGAACTCAGGGAATAGACAACGGAAGGCACAGCCTGAATGAGACAATTAAACTGGGGGGTGTGCAAGACCCCAGCATTGGAGGGTTGGAGAGATTACACAGAGAGGGAAGGGCAGGGAAGTGAGAATCTTAAAACTCAGGCACTTCAGAATCGGAGCCAATGTCATTTCATGGGGAGGCGCTGACAAGTGAACACATCACTTGCTGCGAGTTTGGAGATGGGAGGGAACAAGGCTATTTGATGAGCTCAGTTTTACAAAGGTCACAGAGTGGGTGGTTGGCTCAGGAGGGCACTGGGAAAAAATAACGGAGGATGGATAAAGATTTCAACAGAAGGGAACTGCAGGCGTTTGCGAACTGACCTTTGACTTTGACGCTCGCTGTCCTGGAAACAGCGACTCCCTTTGAGTTGCGTGCCTCACAAGTGAAGGTGGTCGGTCTGTCAATTCCTGTGGGCAGTGAGGGCACAGAGACAGGACATTACCTTCGACGATTAAAAGCAATCATGCCATCCCACGTCCACAACCGCAGAGGGGAAGGGAAGGAGAGGCTGATGCGGGGTTGTTTCTTGTATTTGAGATACCACGGGAAATCAGGAAGGCCTCAGGAGAGGCTGGTTTCAGCTTAGGCCGAGGTGGGGCAATACGGTTAGCAAGAGAGGAACAGGAAAAGCCGATGCGGCCTGTTCTGACCCTGGCTGCACTTAAACCGTTTCCCCACCTCCATTGGCACCCCAACTACACAGAAACCTACCCACCTCAGTCTTTGAGATTCCAGTTAAGCCCCCAGCAGCCACACTGCTTCTGGAGGAAGCAACTCTCCGATTTCTACAACACTTTACACGAGGAATTCTTTCCTGATGTGACTTCTGCATGGGCTACTGCTATCTTTAGCTCTGAAGCAGGCAAACAGGAAACGTTCAACAGGCGAATCGACACCCTCGGGGAAAATGGAGCCCTCAGACTGCAGTCACAACACCCACGCTAACAGGCAGACACTTTACAGACCACTGCAGGGCCATAGTCAACGAGTTATGTTTCAAATAGACGTCTCTTAATATATAACCAATCTGAACCCCTCGATTAGATTCCAGTCTGTAATTCACTCCAGGGTATCCGTTATTCTATATATAAACCATCTGAACCCCTCGATTAGATTCCAGTCTGTAACTCACTCCCGGGTATCCGTTATTCTATATATAAACCATCTGAACCCCTCGATTAGATTCCAGTCCGTAACTC